TAAAATATTATTGGCTGAGCAATCTAGAATATTATTGGTTTATTACGATCGGGAATGTTATTGGCTAAACAAACTATCATATTACTGGCTTAGCGATCTAAAATATTATTGGTTTAGCGATCTTGAATATTATTGGCTAAACAAACTATTATATTACTTTCTTAGCGATCTAAAATATTATTGGTTTAGCGATCTTGAATATTATTGGCTGAGCGATCTTGGATATTTTTGACTAAGCGATCTTGAATATTATTGGCTAAGTCATTGATAGCCACTAGACCTTTCTTTTTTAATTAATGATTCATTAGTATTCAACAGGCCGTATCCAACACTAAATCTCAAATTTCGCCAATCAATCATAAATCATAAGAATTGAATGCCTCGATATTCTTGAATAACTGTAGGTAAAACCAGTTTAAGTATAATTGCCCAATAGAGAATATAATTCTTAGTGGAAAATTATTGGTTAAGCAATCTGTTATTGGTTTAGCGATCTAGAATGCTATTGGCTAAACGATCTATAATATAATTGGCTAAGCGATCTTGGATATTATTGGCTAAGCGATCTTGAATATTATTAGCTAAGTCATTGATAGCCGTGCACTAGAGCAGTTTCTTGTAACATTCAAGTAATTAATGATTCATTGGTATTCAACAGGTATCCAACAACACGAAGCATAAACTATTATTCCTTTGTTCTTTTGTTTCATCGAGATATTTCACAAAGGACATGGATTTTTGGATTTTCTCTGCGCAATAAGAACGTTTCATTCAACGTGTTCCTTCGATAGTTTCAGCGACCAAATTTTTAGACATCTTACTTCTAAAACTTACTGGAATTAATGTCTAAAACAGCTTCGAAAATGAACAAAAGGTCATTATCCTATTAGTTTGTTATATGGATTTCTTTGAATAGGTAAAATATATTTTCCAATTAATGAGATTCTAAAGTTTGATCAATTTGATTCGTTTTACTTGTTCCATTCTTTCTTTCTCTTTTCATTATTTTTTTCTTCGTTGCTCTAACAAGTTTTTCTTTGTGCAAAGGCATTCTTTGCGGGAAGTAATTAACAAAGAGAATAAAAACTACATAATTAGGATAATTTGATTTTCGGCTATTGAAAATTTTTCCATCAGTTGTCTTTATCTTCAACCGGTTTTTTAAAGAAGAGAAAAAACTAGAATCATTAAAAAAAACTTTTCTCTCTCCTTATTTGATTTTATCAAATGTTGATTTTCCATGTTTTAATAACTGACAGAAGTGAACTATTCTATTTGAAGTTCATAGTGTTATAATGGCTAAATGTTTTAACTTTTTTTGAATTGTGGTTGAGATTGAAAATGACAAAATAGCAATTGGAAAGAATTGTTGAAAAACTTACTGCTTCTGGCGTAGGTTGATACGACCATAAGGGCAAGAGCCCCGAGGACAAGCTTGAAGGCCATCTACAGAAACGAAACAGAAAACATTTAGAAGAAATGAAGGTTTTTTTCAGTAAGATTTTCCTCTCGTCTTACCTTGTGTGTACGCTTTGCAAGACAGCTACGAATGTTACTTGAAAGTCTCTAGCATTCTTTTTATGCGCTGAACGCTATCAATGATTAATCAGCAGTTACGTGTTATACACCAGTAAACTCTTTGTCTTTCCTCTTTTTGAACAATACAACCGTTTGGTACCCTGTTCCACCATATTGGTATTTACGCATGCGTAGTTCATGCCAGCGCCGTATAATATATTCATGATATAAAACCTATATGGTTTGGTCTTGTTAGTTGGTTTTATCTTTTTTTCTTGGATTTGTAGTGTGTTTTAAATGTTATTATCAAGGGACTTTGGTTGTCTCTGCTGTGTAGTTCAGTCTATATATCAGAAGCTGTCGTATTAAGACTAAAGCTCAACCGGTCAATTATTAATAGCTAGGAGCACCCGTCGTCTTTTCCAGTGACCTGTCCTCTTTCTTTTCATTGCTGACGTGTGTTTACCGCAACAAACTCAAGCAAGCGAACCAAGTGACCACGGTTCACTGAAACTGCTAACAAGTTGTGAAACTGCTTGTGCGAAAACAATTCAGGCCTTTACGGGATCAAAAGCCACCCGCTCTCACAAGAAAACAAATCAAAATCCAATGGTTTTACGATGACGGCATTCAATATGAGGGAGACTGTGATTGGTTGATTAGTATATTGAACGGCGCTTACGGTCGATTGAGTAAAAGACTATTRAATTGTAAAATGTTTTGGAACACTAGAATAGGTCAAGAGATATGAGATACCTTGCTTGTTCTCGCATGCTAGCACTCCGGCCAAATACTCCGTTTTCGAATTCTCGGTTGTACCGGATTCGTCTCGATTTAGCATAAAATCACTTTGAATATTCATGCATTCCAGTGAATTAATGTCTGTGGAACTTTAGTGTTTGCGTTGTTGAAGTTGTGCATTCTTTACTTTACCGTGGTATTTGTGAATATTTTGATAGTGAAATGAGGCCAACCCTGTATAAATGAGTATGTAATCAAGGAACGCAGCGGCATTTGATTTTTAACTTCGAAAACGGTCTATTCATTTCCACTTGTTTTTAGAGGGTAACCGACTAGCTACGTGACTGATACTCTAGCTATGGTTCCAAGATCCAATCAAAAATTACAAGTGATGCGGAGGAAGGAATACTGCATGGAGAACCGGAAAAAAATCCCTCAAAGCACTGGAGAGAACCACTGAACAACACACTCTACTCACAATCTTGCCCCCGACGGTGGCGCAGGAGAGCGGAGAGGCGTACACCACCAGCATGTCCCAAAGATGATCCCAAAGATCTCCGTTTAGTAGGCGTTTATTAATTCCTTGTCTTAACTAGTGTTATATGTCAGTGATTATTGTTAAGAGAAATTGTATTCTTCGATTGCACGTTACGTCATCGCGGCCATGTTGTTGCCATTTAACAAAAGATTTCTCATTAGCATCCATTGTTAACGGCACCACAATGGCCGCAATGGTTTTGTCTTTTGACTCTCCTGGGAATGCTTGCAACCCATCAATTAGGATGACTAGTGCATAGGATTTTGAGCCATCGACATTGATTCGGGTTTTGAAGTCGTTACAAACGCAAGTATACGCTATACTATCATATCTTGAAAGAGGCTAAAGAGTGGAGGTAGTATATTCTCTTCACTGCTTTTGGTATAACAATCGTTTGTAAGGTCTCTCCCTTGATTAGAGGGTTTTTCTCCGGGATTTCCTCCGTCCGCTAAACCCAACGCGTTAAATTCCACATTGTGAGTTAGCAGCGCCCTGAGGTCGGTATCAACAAATAAGACTTTTTTGCGGCGATTTTTGTGGCAATTTTCGGGAATATGAAATCTATTGTCTCATCCTTCAAAAGAGACATTCGTCTAGGAAAATCTTAGTATCCTGAAAAAAACCTTTACAAGTAAAATCTTTACTATTATTTATTATGGACAAAATCGCAAAAACATCGCGGCAAAAATCGCTAATGTTAACAGGGCTGAATGATAATATCATGAAAAAAGAGCCATTGGCCTAGGTAGGTGTTATTTAATAGAACAAGCTGTCTTTTTACTATTTTTTCATCTCGAGGAGAAATGAGGCTAGACGTGCTGATATCGAAGCTAAAATTATAACTGAACTAGAGTAACAATACAGAATTTGTTTCGTATTTGTTTAAGATTTATTCAGTTTTGTACTCGAATAAAAGGTAAAACAGTAAATAAGAGAGCGTCTTTTGAGGATAAGAAACAGGTTATTTCTGGGGTTTGTTCTGGCTGCAGGCAGGCTAAAGACAGATGACTCAAGCAAGTTTAGTGGTCACTGGTGGGTTACAGAGAAAGTGATGCTGTTCAAGTACCCCTCATGCCAAGGGCTTGCTCTAACTCTGCGCGTTTTTGTTGAACCTGTGAAAAACGCAAAGAAAAGTGTTTACTTTTACAGCATATATTTCTTAATAATAAACCCTTTGAGCTTGGGTGTAATGTCATTCTCTTTCAAACTACTTGGTAATACAATTTATATGCAATTAGCAGCAAAGAAAAGAGTAAGAATCAAGAGAATGAGCTTTGGCTCGAGTTGAATAAACATTCTTCAGTAGTATGATTATTAACGCTCAGTTTTCGTCTCGCCCCGGAACGCATCGAAAGTTCCGCGTCCACATTGGCGTTTTCACCTGTCCACACTAAAAACGAACTAGATACGATTGGGAATTATGGAATGTCATTATCTGTGAATGCGAAAAACAGGAGTTCAAAATGTCTTCAAAGTATCCGTATGTGTGTGAAAGTGCCCAAGAGAACACAATACATATTTGCAAGACAGGGAAACTGAACGCTTGCCTACTAGAAGATTCACTTTCCTCCGTTTATAATTTTCTCATTATTGCTTTGGACGAAGATGCGTACCAGATCAGCCAACACCATTATGAAACCCTTGAATACACAATTTTGAAGATACTTTTCTATTTGTTTTTTTCTTTTGAGAATTTTTTATCCATCTGATATTCAAGAGTGGGATGGAAGAGTTCAATCATATATACAATTCTTACTTTCAATGTAACAAGTTAAATAATTTCATTTCCTTTTAATAACAGCAAAAGTTTTTGAAATGTGTATCTAATTTTCAAATGTTTAAATTAAAATTAAAAATTAAAAGTGAGAAGAGATGGCTGTATGACAAAGTATCAAAATTACCTTGCTATAGAAGTAGCGACAGACAGCTTCTTGTGACCAGGGTAAGTAGTAGAAGTCTGCTCTCCTCTCTTCTTCAGGATTACCCACCACATCTGTCATAACCTTAAGATCTTGACACTGAGACTGAATCCATTTGTTGATGAAACCCTGGGTATCACGAGCAAAGCCCAGGAAAAACTCACGGTTGATCTTCAGATTATTGATTGTCTCAACTGTCTCGTATATCTGTGGAACAGTTCATAGTTTTCATTAGTTTCACAGTTTTAAATTTTATGCAAAGTTTGTAAATATGCCAACATTATTGATATTTTGGAGTGAAGGCATTTAACCTGTGAAATAAAAGGATGTCAATCAACATGCAATAGGCAAATAGATACAAAAGATTTTTTCAAAGAGGGGACTGTAGCATTGATTGAGGTACTTGTTTGGCGGGAAAGTAGCACAGCGTTCCCAAACGGAAGTAGGTCTTATGATAATGATTATTTGCTGCAGGCGAGCATGGTTGTGTCAGGTCCCACACACAGTGTATAGAAAAAAAAGCGAGCGAAATGTGATTGGCACCCATGTTTTAATAAAACTCGCGATACTGTTGGTGTTGTCATGAAAAATAATAATAAATCACCATGGCTTTCATAGGGGGGGGGGGGGGGGTGCAACCCCCGAAACTCACCCCTAGATCCACCACNTGTTGGTGTTGTCATGAAAAATAATAATAAATCACCGGGGGGGGGGGGGGGGGGGGGGGGGGGTTGCAACCCCCGAAACTCACCCCTAGATCCACCACTGACTAGGTCTACTCCCATTGCTCAAATAAGAGTACAGTGAGGTCAATGAAAATAGAATACTATTCTATTTACTTATTTTCCTGCCCTTCCCTCCCTTGCACTGTTGTGGTTCTTTGGAGAGCTCCACTAGGTCTACTCCCATTGCTCAGGTAAGAGTACAGTGAGGTCAATGAAAATAGAATACTATTTCATAGTTACCAACCTTGTTATCATACGTAGCTATCTCATTCTGACTAGCAGTAGACAAGAGGAATGACTGCATTTGGGCCTTCAATGTGTCATCCTGGAATATCAATTGATGGGTATATTTGTTAATACTAGTAATACAAGTCTCTTGAGAGAGAACTATGACAGAAAAGAAGGGAAAAAGGAAGAAAAGATAGAGGAGATATAGGAAGAAAAAATAGAGAAGGGAAATGAATAGAAGGAAAGGGAAAAGAAGAAGGAAAAAATCACTGGACAGGTATAAATTAAGCAGAAACTAAGCAGTCTGCTTTTAAGCAAAAAGTAAATAAAAATAACATAAATTAAAAAATCAAAATTTTTAAATTATAACATTAAATTTGTAAACCTTGATTCATTCAAAGACATAAGCAAAGTTTGGCATCAGTAACATAAATTGATAATAATAATTAATGTTAATCATATTACATACTATATTTTTACCTAATTTGTAAAAAGAACTACCAGTATATCATTGACTTACCACTTCTACATCAATGTCATAACATGTCACCCGTTTATTCTCAGGAATATCCTTGCTGCAACCAACAAAATTGAACGGATTAATATATTATAGAAAAAAAAGGTTTTGTTATTCACATGATTACACAGTTTGAGAAAAGCTCAATATCACTGATTGCATTGTGCATAGGTAGCATAGAAATGAGAGCGCTCAATCCTAACCAATGCAAAATAGGTTTGATTCCCAGATTCCCGATTGTCGTATAAGAATACAGTGTCTAGTTTCTCTCCTGTGCTTCAAGATTTTTTCTCCAGGTTCTACAGTTTAATCCCTCCACAAAAACCAGCTTCTAAATTCCAATTTGACCATGCAACAAGAGCCACAGGTTTGTTACTTGTTACTGCCACTGGCTATGAAATGCTATCCTCATAAAAACAGACATCTTTTTTATAATTATTACAGACTGAATGTTGCATTGTTTTTAATGATGACCTGTTAGGATAACACATCTTCATTTGCCAGCACCTTTGACTGTAACAGTTACTCAAAATCTACAGTAAATTTTCCAAAATCAACATACTTGATGATATGATTAATAACGATAGGATCTGGAGGCATGAGAAGTTGATTCAGTCTCTGTGGTATTTCACTGAATTTCATTCTCTCACAGTCAAAAATCTGATAAACAAACACAGATATATTAATGATAAAATAAACAGAAATATGAATAATGGAAAGCAAGAAATTGAAAATATACACAGGAAGCTGCAGACCAACCTGCTCGAAGTAGAGGTCGTTGTTGATGTACTCCCTTTCATGTGCATCTTGGAGGTTATGACTCTGTCAGAGCAATAATAATCTTTTCAATTTTTTTCTGATATACTACAGTACCACTCATACAATATAAATGGGATTGGTTGGATTATTAAGGGTACATGTACATCAAGTGAGTAGAATGGAAGTATGATAGGACTGGGTTTGGTTTGGGTGTATGAATGGGGGTCCTTTAATGGACAATATACAAAATAGTTCCTACTGTACCTTAATGTACTGCCAAATAGCATTGACAATGACTGGCCTTGTTTGTGTATGGATACCAAGTAAACGAGCTAGCCTTGGGTCTAACTTGAACTGAGGAGGCTGGAAATGAAGAAAAAATGTAACCAGAGTGTCATAATTGTTTTTATGCTTGATGATGGCGCTGTAGCACACGTTGAAATGTTGCATTAATATATATTGTAAATTTTTTATATGTTTTAGAATGTTGTTAAATTTTATGCTTTTGCAATGTTTTATTAATAAAGGTTAGATAATATTAACCAGAGTGTTGTATTTTTGTTTTTGTTTTTGCTTTTAATGATGCTGTAGCACACGCTGAAAGGTCGCATTCACATACGTGTATCTTGTATATTTTAATATTTGTAGTATGATTTTACGTTTTATACTGTCACAGTGTTTTATAAGTAAATTGTTTAAAAAACATTCTATACATTTGTACCTGATCTAACCTTTATTTGTTGATGCTCTTACCTGGTAATCCAACAGAAACATTATGGTACATTTAACATTCTCCTCTCCTGGTCTTTTGACCTGAAAAATACAGCAAGTACATGTTATAAACATTTACAATAAACAATAATAATAAACAATACAAAACAAAAATCAAAACAGCAAACGCAACATCATTTTTTCAATATAATTAGCTTCAATAAATTTCTAATTTTGTAGATTCTTCAATAACCTTTATGATAGAAAAGAGTCTTTTGTCGTGATTCTGCAGCCCACCCTCCAAAAACCTTACCTGGAAACCATCTGTTTCTTGTGTAGATGACGTTCTGTGCCACTGAAAAATAAGATAACTTGGTCAAAATGATAAAAATTGCATTCAGTAGTGGAAAAAATGCAAAATTAATTAGCTTTATGTAACAAACTAGCTGCTAGAAGATGCTAGATGATTCAATGAACACCAAGTATCATTGCACGAGGAATTTATCTACAAAATAATGAATTATTAAGTTTAAGAAAATGTATCCACTGGTTATTTGTTCTTACCTCTACTAGATGATTGTCAGGACCATATAGTTCTCGGTCTAGCTCAATGACAAGGCTCTTAAAGAATGTTGAAAATTTACGTTTCCTTTGTACATCTGCCTTATTGGTGGCCTAAAAATAAATAGAATAAGTGAATAGTAATGAATGAATGGATAGATATTAAATAAATAAATAAATGGATAGGAGGTGGGAAGAAACATGTAGATAGATAAATGAACTGACAGATGGACTGAGGGATGGTTAGATGGAGGGTTGGGGTGGCATGGACAGAGGGGCAGATTGGTGGGTGGATACTGTAGATTAGTGGACAGATAATTTGGAAGGATGAATTCATGAAAGGACAGGTCGACCGACAGACTGTCAGCTGAATAACTTGTCAGTTTAGATATTTCTGTACATAACAGTACCCAAGCTCACACAGTGGACTGAATACAAAAATTATGATATAATATCATTTACGAATAAAGTTTTTAGAGAATAAATTTTAGACATATTACAACTCACATCTTCAATGAGTCTTCCTTCAACTCTTAATTCCCAAGAAGGAAGTAATGACTCTTCATCCTAGTAGACAATCATACAGTATATCAAAATAAATCACTTTTATTTAAGTGTCAAGTCATTCTAGCGCTTTTTAATTGCCAAGAAGGAAGTAATGACTCTTCATCCTGGTAGACAATCATACAGCATATTAAAATAAATCACTTTTATAAGTGTCAAGTCGTTCTAGCGCTTTTGCACTAATTGTGGACACTTTTCGCTCACACGCACTACCACTACATTTAATATTCTATATGCACACACAACGCTCAACTCACATGTTGATTTTTACGTAGGGAGGAAACCAAAGAACCTGAAAAACCCTCATAAATAGCATAGGAGAGAACAACACATCAAACAAACTCAATTTACTTGTGGCGACCGCAGGCCTCAAACCAGCGACCCGACCTGTTGGACTCGCAGCGGTGAAAGACGACACGTTAGCCGCGAATGCCACCCATTGCATTGAGCAAATGATGAATCACATAAGGAAGTTTTAGTTATAGGTCATACAGTGGAGCACATAAATTTCAAAGGACTACAAAAACTTGATATGATTACTGAGAACTTGGTCTATTTACATATATTGTACTATAATATTATAAAAGTATTGTATATTGTGAATATGATCATCATGACATAACACTACCATACCTCTGCATCCTGCTTTGGGGTGTGAAAATTTGTGGTAAGGTAAACCCTAAGCTTTTTCTTGGACTATCAAATCAAAACACAACAATTAAATTACTAACTGAAAAGCAGCAAAAATTATTATATTTATATAGAACCAACGGTTGCGTTACTGATTTTTCCTTGATCTTATCTAAATTCTATTCCACTGTAGTTGACCTAGTGGTTTGTTTGTCAACTTTAAGAATGCCCACTGCAGAAATCATAACTGCCACAGTGGAACAAGGGACTACTCTTAGAAGTGTGGCACTCAATGAGTTACCAACATTCAATGAATAAAAACATTTACTTAAATCCCAAATAAGATTTTATTATGATAGCCATGTAATTTACATAGCTAACACTTGACTGGTGAGAGTTGCAGTTTCCCAACCTGAACAACCGAATAAAATCAAGAAAAAATCAGTGACGACACAGCTTCTGTCTACATGTATATCTATTAACCCTGATTATCAAATTTTCAATACACCATTCTCATAATAATTTTGCTGACAAGTGCACAAAAACGAGGTCACCCAGTCACCTTGTAAGACTAAGGGAGGCTGCTCATTCAAAATAAAGGTGGATAGCATGAATTCAGGTAAAAAAAATAGGTCAATTTCTATGCTTTTCCTCTATAACTGCACTTCACGTGCTTTCATATCTTTTATTATCGGGTGACCTTGTTTTTATGCACTTGTCCTGAAGCAATAGTGAGAATGGTGTATTTTAGCAGCAAGAATATCAGGGTGTAAAGCTGATGGAAATACCTGTCAAATACTTGTCAACCAATTTGAATAACTATTGTTCTGCGCTGGCAAGCGACTGACTAGCCTCGTGTTCACGTGGAAACATAAAAGCATTTTCACATGTATAGGAGGCTAGTCAGTCGCTAGTCAGTACAGAACAATAGTTATTCAAATTGGTCGCCATATTTCGATTCGGTGTATGGCTAGTCACAAATACAGAAAAACTTGTTATTYAAACTGAATGGTTACCTTGATTGGTCTTTTCAGTGCTTCTTGAATATCCATTCTCTTGCGCATTATGGTGGCATCTAGCTTGYGTTCAAATGCCAAAAGATCCATATATGCTTGAGATTCTGGGACAAGATCTCTTACCTATGATTGCAAAGGGATTTGAATAAATACTGGAAACGGAACCCAAATTTCTGTTTTTAAAATGTTTTAAAAAGAAGATATGTATGAGAACCCTCCCTTCTATCTTGCCTAAATCCCCACACATCTGTAGGCAACTACATGGGAGTTGGTTATTGTTAAACATCCAGCTTTGGCAATTTTTTTCAATTTACTTCAAAGTATTTGAATGAAACACTCTTTCTTATCATTTTAAACTGAACCTACCCTTTGTGGTAAGACCTTATCTGCTATTTTCTTTTTCCTAAAAAAAAAAAGGAAAATTATTTTCGAGCCTTACATGCACATCTCACCTCATGCAATTTTTATAGCATTATGAATGGATAGAAACAGTTTATAAATCATACCTTCTTCTTGACTTTAAATCTTGTCTTCTTCTTGCCTGTTCTATAACGGCTGCAGCACCAGGAGCTAATGCCGCCCTTGGTACATTAGGTCCATAAGAGTGTGATCCTGCTGGGCTCTGCATGCGTATGGGAGTACTAGAGGAATGCTGCTGGCAATAAAATTAATAACAAAGTCACTTGTCTAACCTTAGATATATTATGCATTATTAAAAAGCCAAGGGGTATCAATGAAATTTGAAGATACTGTGTATATAGCAAGAAATAAACCCAAAGTTATAAAAAGACCCAACGTTTACACTGATTCATACTGATGAAGAGACAGTAGCCTCAAAACGTCTGATTAATGAATTTTTAGCGCTGTATATGATTATTTCATTCTAATAAAAGTGTGGAGAACAATGTACCCTTCTCAATGACATACGCTGCACTACAGCTGAAGATATCAAATGAATTATTAGTTATTAGCCATTCTAAGTTAGAGGATAAAACTGGGTCCAGTTGGCATTGCTGTATATTTTGGGGCTGTTTCAGGGGATGAAATAAACCCCCCAGGGGGGGGGGGGGGTGTACTCACCTATATTCGCTATATGGGTACGTGCYGCCAAACAGGGTATGGTTTTCAGCAATTCTACTCTGGAACAGGGTATATCAAATTGCGCTCACTCTGGGACAGGTCGTATGAAATCATGCTCTCTCCTCTCTGAAACAGGGTATCTATTTTCACACTACCGGAAAAGGTTATGGTTTTCAGCGATTTTACTCTGGAACAGGGTATGAATTTCAACGATTTTACTCTAGAACAGGGTCAGGGTTCAGAGGGCTTAGCGGCATATCCCTACCCTAAACGGGCAAGAGTACCCCCCAGGAATAAACCCTCATCTTGTAAATACTGTACAGGTGTACTGTATGTCCCCCCAAAAAAACATCCCCAACTTGCACTGTAATTCCAACTCAACCCAGTTTGACTAATAAGCAAAACATAACTATTATTTCCTTGGAAAATAAGCACCTCTTTAAATAAAATAAATTCTAAATTTCCTTATTAAATAAATAAGAAAATTTGAAGAACGGAACAAACCTAAAGACGATAAAAACAAGTTACTTATTTGTCAAAAAATAATAAATTGCCTTTGGTTGTAAATGAATTAGATTTGAAAATCAAACAAAATAATCAAAACAATCACGAATTTTAGGTTTCTTTTGTCAGATCATTGCTGAAACACAGAGATTTATTTTTGTAAAGCCCTCGTGCTGGTAAAGAAATTAATTGTTATTTAGTCGTTAGATAATCGAAGCATTTGAACCAAATTTTCAATACAGTTATGATAAATAAGCCTATAAAACCATAAGAAAAGTTACCTGCATTCCATAAGGTGTTTGTGAAAACTGAGGGCGTGGAAATATTCCACTTTGTTGTGGCATATTCGCCATTTTCTGCATTTGAGCAGAAGCAGGAAAACGAGTAGCCGCCATCTTGACTCAATCAAGAACAAATACCCAGAATTCACTTCGACCTTCATGCTTCGTTTTTCGGGATTACTTCATGATTTCGAGGTAAATAAATTATTTATTATTTTTTTWAAAAACATTTTGACAAAAATATCTTCTAAGGACTTATTTCCATCTAATCTTGAGTCATATAATTTACGAACAGTGTTATTGTTCTTTTCCAAACCTACTTTCAATCTTCGTCAAACTTCGTCAAATCTCCGTGAAGAGGTGGCATTATTTTATCGGAAGATATTCGAGTTTCCGAGTTTGGAACGAAAGTCTAAGGAAGGAGGAGGGAAGGCGAGAAGAAGAAGTCACTCAGCTGTTTTCGAGGAAAAATTCTTTGTTACTTGCACTATTTTCAAGAGAACAGATCGAAAAATGAAGTGTGCCGTGTTTTTGCTGGCTGTTGCTCAGCTATTCCTTCAGGTTAGTCGTCTTTTTCGATCGCTATATCTGTTTTCTAAAGTTAAGCTTACCTTCCTTCGGCATGCGTAATATGTTTGCATATCGTCATGACGCAGTGTTAGGTTTTAGTGAAGAACACAACCCGTGTATAAGTAACACTAATAATGAAACTTTCAAATGAATGATGACTTTACTAGTATTCGAAAAACATTGACCATAGAGTACAGCTTCATGATTATAGTAGTTCAATACCAGGGCTTTAATATATTTTGATGTAGAAAAATAATAATGAAGAAGTCGAACATTTGCTCGATAGGAAGCCATATTTACCCGTTAAGTAAGCTATATAGAGTGGATTTATAAACGTTTGCTTGGTCTTTTATTCTTTAGTCCAAGAAATGGGGACTATTGCGCACTTTTGTTGAATGGTTATAATATCACTTATATAAAGGTTCAAACGCGCGCTAGGACGAGTTTTGCATTAGAATTCAAGACAGAGGGCCGCAGGCCCGAGGTCTTGAATAGACAACTTGCACTAAAAGGTCACGTGATCAAATCGGCCATTGTGGCTGGCATTTTACAGGATTTGCTATGCGAGAATGTAAAAAAAGGTGGCGGATTCGGGTAGTTTTTTGGGTGATAAAAGGTAAGTTAGCGCACTAAATAACTATAAAAATCCCCTTTTCTCGCAAGAAATATATTCTTAGTAGATGTCTAAAGTAGATTTGTGCTATTAACTCGCCAAAAAGAGAAAAAATATGGTATTTTTTGCAATAGGATGTGAAGACCTACGAAGTGTTTAGTATGGTTTTTCTGGCTTCATGACCTCAAAGCATACAATATTTTTCCTCTTCCTGGTGAATGAATAGCAAAATTATACTTAAAATATCTATTAAAAGTATATTTCTTGCAAGAAAAATGCAGTTTTCAAGAATGAAGTTGAAATATACTTGAAATGTTTCGACAAGAAGTCGTTGTTTTGAGGTCATGAAGCTGGCATATGTTTTCCATATGTTATTCTCTTCTTGAACTTGAACAGAACTTCTTCTTTTTGGCTATTTGAATTTGGCTGACCAAATTATATGGAATTCAACCTCATTGGTCTTATTGCCGAGGTTTCATATAAAGCTTATAGCTAGCAACTAGCAAAAAATGAAAATAAAACGTCTAGTCGTTTCTAATATATAGAAAGTGAAATGCTACAAGTAATAGTTTCTACCTGTGAAATGAATATTACCATCGCTTTCAGTGTTGCCACGGATATCTTTCTCCTGGGCGCTTACTCAGGGGAGAAAGCGTTGGGTGACAACACTGAAAGTGGCTGTGGGGGAGACTATCCGTAGTCACGTTTAGCTATAATTCATGAATGATTGTTGTTACATATTATTACTGTAAAAGCTGTAATTTTATTGCAGTTTCCTATTCGTTGTATCGTAGGAGTCTTTCCCGGGGGAAGGGGAAACTCCCATATATGGACTATAYGGGGATGATCCACTGAACAGGGTATTGTTTTTCGAGCTTCTTGTCATAAACAGGGAATGCAATTTCACTCAAGTTCCAAGTGTTTCCTGAATTTCCTGTCATATTCAGGATTTTCTACTTTCTTATTGACCCAAACTGGTTATTATGGTCGTAAAAAAAACAATACGCAAGCTGACAAGCTGAAACAGGAACTCAGTGCAATTAATTATAATTATCTTTTGTCATAAACAGGGTCTACAAATTTGAGGGTTTTTTTGTCATAAACAGGGTACACCTTTCAGAATCCCAGCGGAACACCCCTACCCAATCTCTTGTGGAGTACCCCCCCCCCCTATATATATATATCTGGGTCTCTAACTCTATATAAAATACATATCTGTCTCTATATATAAATTATTGTACATGTTTATGTATAACACAACAATATGTCATGAATACAGCAATTTGTTTTGAGTGGAATTACAGTTATGACTGATACATTTCTAAACAGAATCTATGATAATTAACCTGTGATCGTCTTAGCCAAACATATTCTGTCAGGCAGATAATTCAGGGACAGCGTTTCTTCCTCTGGAATAAGACTGCTTTCAAGAGCATTCAAGTACAACAAGTCTCCTTGCATTAGGATTTCGTTGATCGTTTCAGTCTGCCATTGCAGAACAGGCAGCGCTGAAAAGCTCATAAAAGAACATTGTCTAATTTCCTTTGAAAGGTCACTAAATTGATGAGTACTCCTAGCAATAAATGAATTGAGTTATGACCATACCTAGATGGGTGAACAAACAAATCAGAATTAAACTTGACAAGCCACAGCTCAAGAAACACACGTGTTCTAATGCATGATTTAATGACCCCAGGTCAAAAGTACTGAAAGCTTCGAAAATCATCTTCACAAACGACACAAAATTTCTCAAATTGAGATTTTAGCTAGCATCTGTAACACAGGAAGACCACAAGTGCAATATTAGTGTTGCTGCTCGCCTCGCAGCAATAAAAACCTTAAGAGATTACGTCATATGAATTCAAATCAGCTCATATTAAACATTCCAGTACTAAAGTTATTCAATGAAAAAGCATTTTAAATTTCCAATATTTTAGTTGTTCCATAGGCTTTTAAAAATCTTGAAACAATGGGTAATGGAATTTTATGATTGTACACTGATAACGGATATGCCAGTCACACCAAACATCATGAGACAATAATTGATTTTCTTATGTACTGATTATTTATGGTATGTTGCCATAGCAATGCTACATCCAAAAGTTTGAAGGCCATGACAGTGTTTGTTGGACATTTTTCCTTTGATTTAATGTTTTTTCTCTGGTTCTATAGTTTTTCTCCATACTGTACCAAAAACCCAACATGCTAATGATTATGATAACAACTTATGATTTATATTGTGCCATTTTATATAGATATAATTTAATGCACTTTATGTTGAAAAGTGAATGTCAGATTGTCTTATAATACAGTATGTAATTTATGATCATGAAACTAGATGGTTAGTATGAGGTGGAGTGTAAGGTAGATACTGAGGATGGTCACTGCCAGGGTTTCTTTACATCCTCAGTAGTTCTATTTTAATTCCCTCTGAAGTGTGGAGAGAAGGGACCATTTAAAGTGGTCATCTTAGCTACTAAAAGTCTAACCGTTTGTAGATGTCATTACAAAAGCAGCACCTTGCTCCTCCTTATGAGTGTTGGTCCAGCCGGAGGTGAAGCCACAACCTTAAGCTCCTGCACAAAAGTCCAATGCCAACCGATTGGCAGTTTTCTTTATTTAATGCTAACTAATTTCTAATCCAAGCTAGAGCTGGTTTAACTCTTGCCCTAACTTAGATAAATACCTTCAGCTTTAATATACAGTAGGCTATTTCAGGGATTGATAAAATTTGAAGGTTTTTAAAAGCAAAATACATAGAATACATTGTACAAGTTACTCAATGTTTTACCAATGTCTACAACATGTAAGTGCAGCACAAATCAAATGTTACACCAGGTTATGGTGGGAAAGGAGTACCACACAGTAATTTAGATAGATCATTCCCATGTTTTTGCCATTTCATCTCTAATAATTTATTTGATTGGCAACAGTTTATCACTCACGCATATTTAACTTGTGACAAAGAGTTCGTTTCTATTAGCTCGTAGCAATAAAATCTGGGGTGGGCCAGCTTTTTTTGTAACATTTCATTTTATCTTTGTTTCAGGTGAAGGCTTACACATACTGTAGCTACACATACTATGACAGCTTCTACAATCGGTATAAAACAGGACAATACAGGTTAGCATAATGGCAAAATTTGTTTAATGGTATTCTCTACTTTCACATCCCCATAATG